CAGGCTCTGCAAGCTGGCTTGGGCAACGGGGGGGGGGGAGGTTACAGGATGGGGCGCGCGCGCGCGAGCGGGGAGTGGGTCATGGGCGCGAAGACGGGGCCGGTGCCGGGGTCGGTGGCGTCCGGAGCAGCAGGTGCAGGAGCTGAAGGCCGAGGAGCAGCAGCTATGTGCAGAGATTTTGCGCGAAGCTACGCACTTGGAAGAGTTGCAGCGTCGACTAGAAAAACTTACACGGGGCTTGGAACATGTGGATAAAGTGGAGGGAACGAGTGCAGAAGAGCCCATGGATTGCGAAGGGGTCAGAGGAAGGGGAGATAGTGGAGGAGCTGGCGGAGTACATGGCTTACTGTAGTGCGTTCCTAGGAAATAGGGATTCGACGATAATGGGGAAGCTCGTGGCGGTAAATTTCTATCATCACCAGTTTCAGGACATGTCTTTGCCGTTGAGTAACCCGTACATAAAATGGGTAGCGCAAGGTATTAAGAGAGGGCACGTGGAGAAAGGTACACAAGCAAGAGTGAGGAGACCTCTGTCATGGGGAATGTTGAGTGCAATGCAGCAGTTGTTGGCGGTGAGGGTGGAGGGGGAAGAGTGCTATGGATCGGATTGGCCTTGACATATCTGCTGATGTTGAGGGCGTCAGAGTTGTTTGCGGAAAAGGATGGAAAAATCCACGAAGTGTACTGCCTGTGCAGGGGGGACGTGGCATTCTTCGAGGGCGATAAGCAGCTGGAAGGACCGGAGAGGTTAAGGGCAGATAAGATAAAAGTGCAGATGAGAGGCTCGAAGGGAGACCAAGGGAGGAAGGGAGCGGTGATGGTCAGGGAGAGGGGGAGGGCGAATGGAGCGGTGGAATTGATGCTGGAACTATGCGGGATTCATGGAAGTGAAGGATCAAGTGCAAAGGCACCATTGATGGTACACAGAAGGGAAGGGAAGTAGGAGGTATGGCAGAGAGGGAAGGCGACAAAACAGATGAGGAAGGGGATAAGAGCGGTGTCAAAGATGTGGTCGAAGGAAGGGAAAGGGGCAGGGGCGAAGCTAAAACCGGGAGAGTTTGCGTTACATTCGGGAAGGATAGGTGGGGCGACGAGGCTGGCCGCGAAAGGGATACCGGAGGCTGTGATAAAGAAGGAAGGGAGGTGGTCGTCGAACGCATTCATGGCATACGTGAGGGCGAGTATGCAAGACCCAGCATGGGTGTCGGCGGTGTTGGAAGAAGGGGAAGGGGTATTGGAGAGACAGCCGGGGCAAGGGACGGAATGGGGAAGAAATCGGGAAGAGGGATCCAGAAGTAAGAAGAACAAGACTTCGTGATGGGGAAGGTTTGTGTCCAAGCTGGGCGACCAGCGGAATGTGGTCAGCCTGGTTCTTATTACTTGAGGAAGCGTGTGGATTCCTTAGTAGGCTTAAGGGCCGGAGGGAGGGAGAGATTTCCACCTCCAAGACCCGGCCTTTGCGCGGCGACACAACAATAAAAATGGCTTTTTTCGGGAAGGGAGAGACAAAAGTAGTGTGCTGTGTACAAATAAATGTGGGTAGCCAGCTGTGGTTGTACCGACGAGCATGGATCCCTTCAGGAGCAAAGATGGTCAAGCCCAACACGAGTGTATTAGCTACTTTTCCGTGATAGATTCGGTGCTCGCTGCAAAAGCGGGTGTAGAGTTGTACAGCGACGGACGTATTGCATTCAGGGATGGCCACAGTACGGCGAAGTGATACATAGCGTTTCAGGTGTCATACCTCAGTGTTCGCAAGATCGTTTCCACCGTAATGTACACACCAGATTCACTGATTCGTTTGGCACCTCGGTGTCGACTTGGTCTGATCGAGTATTTAGAACGAGAAATGGTGCCGCCGCGTGGCAATTTGTTCCATCGCAGATAATGATGTTTTCCTGTTTTTTTATTTCATCAATATGGCCCAACGAATCCATCTCTATCGAAGAAAAGGGTCTAAGATAGATAAGCAATGAATCCATAGCATCAGCGAAAATTTGACTGTTTTTGAGTGCAGATGAAAATGTACAGCAGTACTGCTGCAGGGCGATTTTGTTCCCCGCCGTCGTACGTACATGTAGTGATCCACAAGATGACGTACGTAGGATACACCTTATCAGCTCGCAGAAACAGGTTCATTTGTGGGCATCGACAACGAGATGCGTAGTTTATTGTGTACAGCTGTCTGTGCTTATTATTGTTGTTGCTGCAACAGGTATGTTCAACGAGTGAGTGAAGCGCTACATGTACTACAGCAGTATATGGTATGTACTGTAGCCTTACCTGCAGCTTACTGCAATTTCAACAGCAGCCAAATTAGCTATATTGGTTGGGCAGTGTGAAGACAACAAATCACAACAACAACAGCACACAGCCCCATCTCCTCCCTATCGATGCTCACCAGTTCCAATGTAGACGAATATCCAGCGGGACGTTCTTCAAGTCTAGAATCTCACGCACCATGACGCACCCTCCAACGTCCTCCACGTTCCTTCTTCTGCTGATTATCTCCCCCCCTGCAATTGGGCCTTCGTTGACCCTCATTCCGAACAAGAGGTCATTTTCTAGCTGCTCCGGCGGGGGCATCGGCAGTATGGGTTCGAGCAGGACTCTCTGAACGGTTGTGGCATTGAGGCAGATAGCTCCCTGGTCATCTTCTCCCACCGTCTTGCACACCACGGACAGGGGAACCGGCACCTCTTTTTCCTCGAGGGAGCTGCGAAGTGCGTCCAAATTGCTCGTGACATCACGCGAAGGTGTTGTTGGCGGCTGCACATGTGCGTGGGGTGCCGACATGTTGGAATGGGTGTTCAACGGCCGATCCCTGCAGTGCGACTGCTACTGCCGCACGCCCTGGGCCCTCCCTCGCTCCTTCTTCTGTCCCCAAGAATGGAGAAACGTCCGCACAGACCGTTTCCGGACGGGTCCAAGCCCCCATCCCTGGATTGTCGCCCGACAGCAGTCCCGCGTTGTTCCTGGAAAAAGTCTTGGAGCACTCTTTTGTCCTGGAATTTCTCTCAGAAGGACCTCCTGTGCGACAGGTGGAGGCGCTAAACCCAACTTTGACACGAACTCAACAACGAAATTGCTAAGGGCTCGTCTTGCACCGTTGTAGGGCGACAGACAGTGGGAGAGTTGAGTGTACACTACATGGCTCGCCTTCTGCGGGTTGAAAAGCCATTTTCACCTGAAAACATACCATATAAATAACCAACAGAGCAGCGCGGAGAGAGAGCGAAGAAGAGAATAGCCAAGGGATCGCGGTGGTACACTGCTGCCGCTACTGCTGTGCTGCTGCAGATGGACCGGCAGGGAGGCAGACAATGAATGGCCTAATCACCTTGTCGCAGCAGCTCACGCTTCTGCCACACACACTGAGTGACAAGAACCTTCTTCGCTTCTTTGTGTGAGAGGCGTCAGGCCGAAACTCATTCGGATTGCAGTGACGAACTACGGAGGGACAAGAAGTTTCTTTGTGTTTTCCTTGGGAGTGTAGTAGATTGGTGGAGATTCATGGAGATTCGTTCTGGGTATTAAAGCGTTATGCGTGACTTGATGCCGTGATGGAATGACGAGCTCAAGCACGCCCCCGATGAATACAACACGTTTTTCACCACGTCTACACGTCTTTACCTACCCGTGCGGCCCGTCATGGCCGAGCTGCTCTACGCTCCCATCACACACAACTGAGCCACCCGAATTATCGATCACGCTAGCGTATGACACGTCGTCTACGAGAATCGAGTCGAGCTTAGTTTGGAGTATCGCTTTGCGGCGATCAGCAGCAGCCACCGATGAGCGACACCGAGAAAGATCGAGTGAGCGCCCGACTAGCAGAGGAGGAAGCCCGGATCAACTACTTGGTCGAACAGAGGGTAGAAGCAAGACTGGCCGAGATGTCGAGGCAAGAAGCAGAGGAGCGGAGGACAGATGACGTCCGGACCGGAAGAGAGCACGAGGATCGCCACCAGCAACACGCGGGGCGGCCATCGGCCAACCCGACGACCGACGAAATCGCCCGCACACTCGCCGACGCCCTCACCGGTCGACTTCACGTCTCATCAGGGGACATGGGTAGAGTACCCATTAACGCAGGGACGGTTCGAATGACTGAGACAAAGCGCCTAGCGCCTTGGGATGGTATATTTAAGCAAGGGGAGGATGAGCAGGCTAAGTTCTTGATTTTTCGGTCGAACATGGTAGCTATGTTTGCCCAGGAAGGAGTGCGTGACGTAGTACTGACTGAAGAAAAGATTCCAGTTGGGAAAGAAGGCGTGAGCATGGAGGAGATGCGTAGGGTGCATTCGAGTGGAAGGGTAGAAAAGGCAATAACGGCGTGGAACCTGCTGATCACGACAGTGACATACATGCCAATCCTAACCCAGATCATCGCCGATGGGAGCCCTAGTGGAGGTTGGAAGATATTCCTCAATTATTACGAGCCGCGTGCCAGGGCCGAAAAAGAAAGGCTGTCATCTCAATATCACGCTCTTGAGATGAAAGTAGGGGAGACCCCGCAAGAGTACTTCGGGAGATTTGCTGTTTTGCGCAGTAGGCTCGCCTCGCACGGTGTTGTTTTCTCCGACGATGATGCCAATGCCCACATGGTATACCACCTTTCCGACGAGTACTCGGTAGAGAAGAAGATTCTGACCATGTCACCGATTCCCCCCTCGCGCGAGACAATTGAAAAGGCTGTGCGAGATGCTCATGCGGACTCGGTTCGCCGTCGGGAGGGGGAACCGAAGAATGGCGCGGGGCACGCGTTCGTCGCTTCCGGTGGCATCCGGGGCGATGGACGTGTCCAAAATGGGTCGAGTGGAAACGGCGGGGGTCAGGACGTAGACGGAGGCGCCCGGAGTCGGAGCAGGAGCAGGGTGAGAGGAAACAAGAAAGGCGGAGGTGAGAGAGGAGCCGACAACGACCACTGCTACCTACATCCGCGCTTGTTCCACACCAACGCCCAGTGCTACACCCAGCGCGACCGTCGGAAGGAGCAGGAGCAGCAGCAGCCCCAACAGCAGCAGTCTCAGCAACAGCAACCCCAACAGCAGCAGTCTCAGCAACAGCAGCCTCAGCAACAGCAGCCTCAGCAACAGCAACTTTACGGACCGCCGCCGCAGCAGCCGAGCTACAGTGGGGGGGGCTGGGGCGGTGGGCCTCAGCACGGACCTCACAGCGGCTACGGAGGACAGCATCAGCACAGGTATGCAGCGCCCCCTCGTCCTCCACAACCGCCTTGGCGGCCTCCGTACGGGCACGCTAATGTGATGCACGCGTATAGTGCTATGCCCTACGGGGGGCCCGCGAATGGTACCGAGTATGGCGGGTGGGAGCAGCAGCTGCAGCAGCAGCAGCCTTCGCCAGACTACTACCAGCAGCAGCCGTACTACCCGCCTCCGACACCGTACTACCAGCAGCAGCAGCCACCACCGCAGCCTCCGCCACCGCCGTCGTTTCAGCCGCAGCAGCAGCAGCACTCCACCCATGCCCCGCCCCAGTCGCCCTCTCCCGGAGCAGCAACCTATCCGCCTGGGCATCTCCACTCCCTGATGGCACACTTTGTGTCCGCTGACGAGATGAGTTCGCTTTCGGTTTCGAGTGATGTAAGCAGTGTCGCATGTGGTGATGATCTTGGCTTTGCTTTGTCTGCACAGAGTTGCGAATACAGTCCTGGTAGGGAGATATTTTGGTCTGATAGCGGTGCAAGCAACCATTTTGTGAGTAACAGCTCCAAGATGTACAACATCTCGCCTGTCCCCCCCGGCAAAGAATTCATCAAAGTAGGCAATGGTGCTTATTTGCGCGTGGAGTGCGTAGGTAGTGTCAATCTGGCATTTCACATGGCAGGAGGTCGATCGGGAGAAGCGGATTTCTGTGTCCAATTGACAGACGTGTACGTAGTACCAGGGATTCCCGCGCCGACACCGGAAGGATCTGCCTGTCCAACAACGTCGTGTGGATCAACCGCCGCACCCGCCGTGCCGGCGCCGGTACCGGCCAGCGGGGGGGGCTCTTCGGTCACCGCGGCGCCCTCGCCGGCCGCCGCCGTTCCTGCAGCCGCTGCCGCACCGCCACCGCCATGGGCATCGCGGACGTACACCTACACCCCGCCCACAGCGACCACCGCTTCGCCGCCGCCCACTTCTCCGTCGATCTTCACAGGGTCCGGAGCCGCGTCGCCGATCTCCACGGCGTCTTCGAGTGCACCGCCGTCCACCGCAGCCACGCCGCCCCGTCCACCGCCGACACCCCCGCCCGCAAGCGCCGCCGCTCCCGCTCCCCATCACCCGCCGCTTTCACAGCGAGCCGTCAGAGAATTGGGCGAGAAGGAAACCAGAGTGCATGGCCGTACGCGCGGCGACCGAGTGCGCTTCATGGATGAGCAACAGCAACCGCCGTTGCCGTCAGGTGGCGGCACCGCTCTCCAACACCGCCTTGGGCTGCTGTCGATGATGGGCAAGGATGCGCTCGTCTCGTCGCTCGCCACCCGGGAGGCCGTCGATCAAGGACGTCGAGACCTGCCACCGTCCGCCAGCATCGCCCCTCCCGCTCCCCCACCGCCGCAAGATACGAGTTTAGCAGGCCATGGGAGCGGGGGGGCCGCAGGAGCTGGAGGGCCGGGGGGCCTGCACATGTTCGCAGCAATGTTCGCCACCCGCGAGGACGTGGAAGCCACTCTTCGTGCCAAGCGCCCTCCTGACAAGATGCCGGACCTCCCTCACTGCCTCGCCAGCGACCTCCGAGTGCCGAAAACGTTCAAGGAGGCCATGCGGTCTCAACATTCAGAGTTGTGGGATGATGCAGTCGGTCGGGAGTTTTTCGGTCTGTTGGATGCAGGTACTTTTAGTCCGGTGTAGCAACCAGTAGAAAACTTCATCAACGCCAAGTGGGTATTCAACTGTAAGGCAGACGAGTACGGATGGCCGACGAAATTCAAGGCAAGACTTGTAGCGCGGGGGGACATGCAGAGGGCTTCGATTGATTTTGGAGAATTGTTTGCACCCACCGTATCCGTGTCTAGTGTGCGTTTGTTGGCAGCTTTGGCATGTGAGCAGAACCTTGACTTGTGTCATTTCGATATTCAGCAGGCGTTTGTGCAGTCTGAGCTTGAAGAGGATGTTTTCATGCGTCTCCCGCAAGGTTGTGGTAGGTTATCTGGACTGATCGTGAAGCTATGCAAGAGTCTGTACGGTTTGAAGCAGGCGTCACGACAATGGCATGCGCACCTGACGAGGTGTTTGTTACTTTTAGGATTTGTACAATGTTTGGCGGATGCATGTGTTTTTCGATTTATGGAGGATGGATGTGTGATCATGATCATCGTGGTCCACGTGGATGACATTTTTGCCGTAGGGCAGAAGGAGAGATGTGACAAGTTTGGCAGAGACCTCAACGAGATGGTCCCCGTGAAGAACCTTGGGGAGTTGAGGTGGTACTCCGCGTGCTTTTACCAGAGAGATCTAGAGAGAGGCCTTTTGAGGATCTCGCAGCAAAGGTTTGCAGAAGAGTTGGCTGCAGAGTACGGCGTAGAGTGGGGAAAGAGTGTGCCCTTGCCTGTGAGCATGAAGCTCACCGACTTTGACGAGGACGAAGCGTGTGCTGACGTCCCTTTCCGCGAGTTGGTAGGATCCCTGATGTGGTTGGCCACTCAAACCAGGCCGGACATCGCGAATGCAGTACGAGCAGTAGCGCGGTATTGCGCGTCTCCCAAGATGGTGCACTGGAAGGCAGCACTTGGTATTTTAGGGTACGTGCGTAGGACGAGTTGGATGGGGATTACATTTGAGAGGGGTGTCGTGACTGGCATGAGCATGCAGGTGTTTGTGGATGCTGACTATGCGAGCAAGGCAGCAGACCGTAGGTCGGTTTCAGGAGGACTAGTGATGTGTGGGGGTGGGTGTGTGACTTGGTTTTCGAGGACGCAGAAGTGCGTTACGCTTTCCACAACGGAAGCAGAGTATGTGGCAATTGCCGACGTCTTGAAGGAGGTGCTTTTCTTGAGGCAAGTTTGGCGTTTTATGTTGCCAGATGCAGGTATGCCGTGCATTCAAATCTTCGAGGATAATCAGGGAGCGATTCAGATTGCGCACAACCCGATCACGAACTCAAACTCGAAGCACATTGATGTACGGCATCACTTTATCAGGGAACTGGTAGAGAGGAAGGAGATTTCGATTACTCATGTGGCGTCGGAGTTTCAGCATGCAGATTTCTTGACGAAGGCTATCAGCAAGGAATCTTTTGCGTTGCACAGAGACTTTGTGATGAATTTGCAGTGACAGAGGTGCTTTGGGATCAAATCGTGCTTTGCCGTTGAGTGGAAGAGAGAGGATATGTACGAGTTTGAACAAGAGATAGAGAGGGTCAAGTGGAGATGGTAGTGTTTTGGAAGGTTAATGTTCGGGATTTTTCTTGATGATTTGGAAGAGTTGGTATGCGATTGATTGTTTTTGGAGGTATTGTTTTGGTGTTGGAGTTTTCGATTTTGTCTTGGTTTTGATTTGTTTTGGGATGAACTGGTATGATAAGGATGACTTTGATATTTTGTTGGAGCATGACGATGCATACGAGCAGGGGGGCTATTCGATATACTCGTAGCATAGCATGGGGGTGGTATATTGCGTATACATATGCGGGGATTGCAGTGACGAACTACGGAGGGACAAGAAGTTTCTTTGTGTTTTCCTTGGGAGTGTAGTAGATTGGTGGAGATTCATGGAGATTCGTTCTGGGTATTAAAGCGTTATGCGTGACTTGATGCCGTGATGGAATGACGAGCTCAAGCACGCCCCCGATGAATACAACACGTTTTTCACCACGTCTACACGTCTTTACCTACCCGTGCGGCCCGTCATGGCCGAGCTGCTCTACGCTCCCATCACACACAACTGAGCCACCCGAATTATCGATCACAGAGGGCAGCCTGCATTTTTTCCCGGCGCTTGCATAATATATACTCCATCCAGGAGTAGTTTTACATTCGGGGTACATATATGTTGGAATTTTGCTGTGGGCTGCATTTTTTTCTGCGTCTTGCAACCAACGAACAATAGTGCTGTTCCGTGGGCGCTCTCCTCGTACACACTATGACACCCCACGCCGACATCACGATATTCCGGGCCACAGCAAGCTATTCGAATAGTCAAGGATCATACCAAGGTAAGCTTTCAGACGCTTGCGAGTGAAGCCCGCTTTCGACTCTTTCCGCCTTGCTACCGTGGTGAGCACGAACCGATGGACTTTCTTTGCTACAGGTTGATATGTGATGCAGGGTCTACGAGAAATATCTAACCGGGGGCGGCGATTTGATTGACTTCGAAGGTCGGGTGGCTTCCAGGCCCGCTCTCACTCCGACCTCCGGCATTCATCGATCATAACGTAACCTCTTTATCAATGCTTCCAAACTCAACCTGTTTTGTTACTACGAGGTAGCCGTGAGATGGTGCGGTCCACGTCCATGTGGATCATCAGTGTTCATTACGTGAATCAGCTGGTCTGGAACAATTGTTGGACTCCTGCATGGTGTATTTTGCGAGGCGATCAGAAAACGAAGGAAAGCAGAAACTACCTGAGGAGGCACGGCCGTGGTACAACCCATGGGTTGTATCCAGCAAGCACTCCGTCAATTTCATTTCTGTAAATCGTTTTTTCCTCGGCTCGGAGACAATGATGCCACCCCGGCCGCCCTCTGCGTTCAGCAACCTCTCGGCTACTTATACACACGTCGTGCTTTACACACAAAAACCTCTTGCGCCCTGTGTTCCATGACCGGCCGAGGGGCGGTCGGGCCACGATGAGTGAAAAGGATGCCACGTACGAGGTCATATGCACATATGTATTAAAGCACACCCCACACGCACGTCTGAAAAAAAAGGTATCGGGAAACAACAATCTGCATGAATGTACTTGTGCCAATTTGAAAAAATAGAAGCCAATGGTGAATGACGTTACATTGGGGGAAGGGTCACGGAATAGCACACAACCCTGTGATGCAGCCTCAAGCAAGCCAAACAGATATACGATGCACAACGCAAAGACAGAAGAAACCCTACGAGGTCATGTGCATTTTCGTTTTCTACACTCAGACTATCTCCCAGGTCACGTTTCGTTGAAGGAACGATCGGCATTTTGGGTACGAAGTATTGTTGTGAATATTCTCGAACTCCTCCGAACGGTCGTCATGCAGTGATGCCAGCCGGTACAAAACACCCACCCATCGATCTAAATGGAGAGGCAAAAGTGCAAATTCTTGAACATCTCCTGCAGGTCTCTCCTGGGTCAACAACAAATGAAATACTGGGGGGAAACCCACCGTTTGGCCGTGTATGCTATGAACAATTCACCAGATTTTCACTGGAAGCAGCACGTCTGAGTGTCCGTTGACGGCTTGCTAGAGTTAGTCGCTGCTCTTGAAAATAGCAAACAATCTTCTCGTGTTTCTCTGCTCTGTATCGACCCAACAACAAGTTACGTACGGAATCTCTGGCATCTCTGCCACCACCAAGCACTGTAGTTCGGGGGGAACCCGACAGGGGTGTCCCCTTCCCGATCAGCATGCCAGGAGACATCGTCAATCTGAAATCGTTCTGATGGGACGAGCGGCGGACATGTGCAGTCTGGTGGCGTGGGAGACATGAACGTGACAGGGTGAGACGATGGGGCAGGGCTTGACGATACGGGGGCGCGTTGCCCTGGACAGAGGGCAACAGAGACATCAGAGAGAATGCTTGCGTCAGGCAGGCATGGGACGGGTTGGGTTGGGTTGGGTTACTGCGTTAGGTCGAGTCGATCGCCCCGCTGTCGCCCCGTCGTTCGCCGCCGTTGGTTTGGGTGGGTTGGATTGTCCGGGTGGTCTTGGGCCGCCATCTTTCCGATCGCGTCACCGTCACTCCGTCGTTCGTCGCCGTCGGCCGCCCTCCTCGCCCATGCGTATAGTACCAGCGAAACATGCTATCAAGATGCACAGCGGGGATTATGCCGCACGGTACGCCTGGCGCGGGGGGATACCCTTCAATGGCCACGGAGGACAAAATAGTCAAAGCAATTCCAAAGAGAAACACCAAAGCACTGATGATCTGGAAAGCGTTTGAAATTATTTAGATATGCCTTTGGTGCTTCCGTGAAACACGGATCCAGCTCAACCCAAGGGAAAAAAGTCCGGTGAAAAAATCATGGTGTATTGCAATGAATCCACGAGGTTTCGGCGCGTGTACGTGCTTCGTTGTCACGCGCGCGTGCTGTTCTTGCCGACGCATTTCTGCACAAGGGCATGACTCTAGTCCAATGTATCATCAGATCAACGACTGAGAGAGTCACGGGCGCGGCAACGATAGCCTCGCGCGTCATGTACATCAATACCGATTGAATGCACAAAGCCCTCGCGGTCAATCCCATCCGCAAAACATACAAAGCTTGCGAGATCATCAGTGGACGTCTCGCATTCAGGTGGCAACTCTTAAATATTACAGCTAGCATTGCTGGGCCAGCCCTCTGCTGCAACCCAACGATCTATTCACCAAGGGAAACAAACATATGTATGTCAACCGATTTTCGTACGAAAACATTGAACAAGACTTTTCGCACTACGTTTGTCAAGGGCGAAGTCATTGGCTGGCGGAGAGTTCTGTCTCCCAGACGCGGCGTGTCTTTCCTCTCGCGGTCATCAATGATCGATATTCTTTGTCTACTAGCAATACCTTCACCAAGTCGGACCTGCAACGACAAGAAAAATGCCTGCGGCCGTGCGGCATCTCAAGTTGCGTCTAGTGAAAAACTTGGGAGAAGTGCAGTCCCCAATGTTTCTGCGGCTTGCCCCCCGAAAACACTTGACTGATGATTCGCATTTCTTGCTGAATGAACACATGCAACCTCTATTGTGTACAGGATTGTTTATTTTACAGGACCTGCTCTTCGCGGAAGTATACCATCATGGTCGTCAAACGCCGAATGGTAAATATCGGAAAACGTTGTCCGGTGCCTCAAGCTTCTTCAGCATGAACCCCTAGACGCTCGCATGAAACCACTCGCTCATGTTGAATTCCGAGCTCTGCGGAAACAAAAAGAATTGCAAGCCAGCAACAGCCAGGCGTGAACACACCAAGGTTTTCATTTTCAAACAATAGGCACTTGCTTTCCGCCCTTTTCACATTGACCCCGTGCCAACACCGGGCAAAGTAGTGAATCACAAGTTGCTTGCCGAGCGAAACTCAGGATCTGCGCATGAATAAAACGGCACAACGCGCCTTCGGCAGGGTTTCGATGGCGCTGTAACTTGTGCGATGATGTTGAGATAGTTATCCTAGGCATCGTTCCGATTTGTTGCACATGTCGGTCAGGGTACTACCTAAACGTGCAAACGTGCTGTCAGTTCCATCCACACAGGGGCCAGCAAGGGCATCTCTCGACCGCGAAAGGCTTCAAGTTGTTCCCGTATGAAACGATATCTGCGTGAAACGGGTACGGCGGACGCTCACCGTGGCCTTGACCTCCTTGCTGCTAACCTCCACCGTCACGGGTGGGCGCTGCTTCACAGTTTTCCTCAGGTGCTTGCACTTGAAGTAGTGGCGCACGCTCGCGACGACCGCACTAACAACCACCAGAAAGCTCACGAAGCATCCTGATATCGCCCAGTGGCAGTACGGTGATGTAGACAGCGCAAGCCCTATTAGAAAGGCCACCGCCATCAAGTCATCCCGAGTAAAGCTGCGTTCGCGAGTCCGAGGTGCGTCGATTGCAGCGAGTCAAATCATCCAGAGGTGTCGCAGTACCATACATGCTGCACTCGGTAGATCCACAGCACTTACAAGCCGGCACAGAGAATACCCGAAGGTGATGAGCACCATTTTGAAAGCGCGGTGGCATCCGGCGAGCGTCTTGAACGGGAAAGCTGTTTTTCTCTCGAGCGTGTCCGCCATGTAGAACATACTGTACGGCAAACTGCATTGATAGCGCTTCGAATGACCTTCTTGGGTGTTGGTGTCTCGTCACCTCCAGGGACAGTTTGTTCACCATGGTACGATCAGTCCCCTTGCGAGGTAAGGGTTCTCATCCTCACGAACGTGAAAAAGACAAAGAAAAAGGCATCTGGCGATGTTATAGGCTGCTCAGGGGTGTGGCGACGGGGGAGAGGTAGTTGTGTCGTTCGGTAATAGCCACGTACCATTCCCAGTCCTACTTAGAGACCACACCAACCTTTCGTGACTCCAAGCGTTTGTTGGCTAAGGGTAGGTAGCGTACAAACGACGGTAGTCAATTGAAAGACCCCACCTGATGTACGGCGACTTCATTCTGTCCGCACGAATCGCAGGAACCACGAAAGCGGCCGTGATGGCAATGCCGATCCCGTTGGCGAGATAGTCCGAGTCTCGTTCTTCCCCGGGACAACCGTCGTCCCAGATGTTACGCAATCCGTAGAACTCGTTGAAATTCATCTGACAGCAAAGTTTGAATCAAAGCCAGGGAATTTCCCGCACCCTTTGGTCGTGTTTCTCCTTTCGTTGGGCTGCAATGGAGGAAATCAGGATGATGGTAGGCACGTGCCATTGCCTCGAAGGGGCGCATTTCCCGGGCACGAGTATCATAGTTCGGTATGCCGTCGTTCAGAGGTAGAAATCGCCTTCGCCGTTGTTACGGTGGCCTTCTGCGCTCGTTCACGGGCAGCGAAGTACTTGCCGCCCCATCGCGGGTCTATAGCTTGTTTACAGCTTTCCGGAAGCTGTAGACCGAATGACCCACAAATCAACGTTTGTACATTTCACGACAAAAACCTTTTGCATGCTAAAACGAAAAGAATCACGCAGCTCAGGAGTATGGACTGATGTAGCAGCTCACCAGCATCAGGTACATTACCAGAAACAGCGGACCGACGATTTTGAACATGGCCTTGGCGGGCGGCTCGTACAAGTAGAAGGTGAGCCTCATCAGGGGGTACGTGACGAACAAGTTGTCGTCAGGGTCGGCCACCGTTGGTGGCAGGCCTGCCTCGACGTCTGCTTGGTAGGTCTCCGCCTGCTGCTTGTGTCCGTCCTTCACTGCCTGCTCTAGATTCTTCTTGAACCTTCTGTCTTGCACGATCTGGGTTCATTTTCGCAACGCATGCGTCAACGTCGGCGGTAATACTTCCAGCACCCACCACCCATTAACACAAGAGTGAAATCTGTCATGAGTCGAGTGAAACCAACGCCACAGGACCCCGCTCTCATCCACCAAACGTTTCGGGTCCTACTGACTCTGCCAAACCTCGGGAAATTCATGGCCCGACTCAACCCGATCGTGGCACTCTCAAGCGGTAGGGTTAGGGTTAGCCACGGGTTCGGCACGAGTGAAAAAACGTTGCGCCCGTCCGTGCAAGGATCCGTGCCTCGACGGCAGACACGCAGGGGCCAATCTTGGGTGTTGTAATGGGGCATTTGGAAGCTTGCGTGCAGCATCCAACACCGATGTCGTCTATTAATTAGTTCATGTGCTTCCGTCGACGAATTTTTTCCTGTTTCTAGGACTAGCCTTTCTGGTGTTTCGCCAAGATTTGGCATTTCCAATGGTCTTCATCTAGATCGATGCCGCTCATGCCATCTCAAGGTTTCCATATTGACGTACTGCGCGTTTAGGTCAAGAGCGATGGTACCGCGCTTGACGTCGCCGACGATATTCGCTAATCGCGGTGTGGAGTAGCACCGAAAAGTGCCACCTTGTGGTTGATTGGTTGGTCTTGAATTCGAACCTTGGGGCCATTCTCATGGTCAGGCGAGATCCATTGACGGGTCATATTAGAGCGGCCTGGACACTATGGATCACGTCCGACTCGTAACGCCCTGGGAGCGTTTTCACCTTCACTACCCATGAGACCCAACAAAAACACCACTGTTCAACTACTTCAGCACGGAATGCGAGATGCAATGTTAATGCCCGTGTGGAGGTGCCTTCGGGTCTTCTCGATACAAGGTTGAGGTCATACAAGCAGTGATTCTCTTATCGGGGAGTGTATGCATAGATATCCAAGGAGCGGTGCCTTGCACGTACGTACATGGACGATGGGTTGCTCCTGCAGAAACGTCAGCTTGCTCGATCGGCTGAGGGAACCGCGCGTCTGCACCTTCGCGACGTTGTCCTTCTTGTTGCTCGCACAGAGGTCTGGGCAGAAGAGCACTTTTGTTCGCCCAACGTCGACGTTCTTTGCCTGTAGCTCTAGGTCGATCGTCGCTTTCAAGATACGAAACGGAAACCTGGCGTTTGCACATCACAGCATGAGAATAGAAAGACACGACCGAAGCGATGGATCAAGCCCGATAACAGAAGTTGATTATTTGTGTAGTCACATCGATCGATACTTTTGCCTTTGACTGCCTAACCTCGGCGTTAACACCTCCCGCTACATAGAATGCCTCACTGGCAACATTTTTCTCCTTCTGTAATATGCGTTTGCCAGTAAAAAATGCCTAGATGTAGAAAATCACTTTTGTGTGCATTGCCGCGGTAGTTCTGGAGTTTCGCGGTCTACCTCCTAAGCTAGCTTGTTACCGCGAACGAACACAAAAACATAATACCGGCGACAAAATGTTTCGTCACCACCACAGTGAGAAAACACCGAATCATCGCATTACCGTCCCCTTTAAAAAACAGACACCAGGGACAGCCGTCATTTTTTCTTATCCCCGAGATTTTGTTTCCGTTGTGATTTTTGTTGCGGCGTGTCTCTCAGACCGTTGCACGCAACGGAAGGTCAACCAATCAACCACCACACAAGACGAACCATACGCACAGCTCATGGCGGATACCTTTGTCCTGCTGATGTTGCTTCAGTGGGTGGCGAGGGATCATCGGTGAACCAAAGTTGCGACACGGGCAAGAGAGCGAAAAAAGCTGCTCAACACGAGGCGGGTCATTTTTCCCGCTGGTCCACGGCTCTTGCGCTCACAATTGCTGAGCGTCTTTCAACCTCCTGGTGTCAACCACCACACAAGACGGACGATACGCACGTGTCGCAACTTTGGTTTACCGGTACTCCCTCGCCACCCACTAATGCAACAGCGATGACAAAGGTATGCGCCACAAGCTGTGTGAATGATCCGTCTTGTGTGGTAGCTGATACAGACCAGGAGGCTTTAGGACGCTCAGAAATTGTGAACGCGAGAGTGGTGGACAAGCGGGAAAAATTATCCGCCGCATCTTCAGGCAACTTTTTTCGCTCTTTCGCCCGTATCGCAACTTTGGTTTGCCAGTACTCCCTCGCCACCCACTCAAGCAACAGCGATGAGAAAGGCATGCGCCACGAGCTGTGCGTATGGTTCGTCTTGTGTGATGATTGATACAGACCAGGAGGCTATAGGACGCCCAAAAGTTGGGTTCGCAAGGTTGACAGTAGACGAAAAATGACCCACCGCTGCTGCGTCCAGGCTCTCTCGGTTTGTTTGCCTCTTGTTTGCCGCACACATCGGGATGTCCACCTGGTCCAGCCCACTGAAAAAACATTGGCTACCGCTGGTGCCACCGACTCTGTACCAGCACAACATGACACAACTCGTGTGACCACCGTTAGAGTTTGCGGTGGACCGTCGAGAGTTCAAGTTTCTAGGTACGAGTGATGTGGTTGTGACCAAAAAAAGACAAAAGTTTTGGACAGCACTTGTCCAAAACTGCCCCAGAAAAAGACAGGATGGGCTGTCCAAAACGGGTTGGCTTTTTCTGGCGATCTTTTTTTGAGGAAAAAGACATTGTAAGAAGACCTTCTACGGCCAGTTGTCTTTTTTTGAGAAGGAAAAAAGAAAACGATCATAAAAAAAGGCAACCGCAAGAAATGGCCTGAGTCCCATCTATTCCGGCGCCGGATTACAGGTATATTCCTCTGACATATCAGCCGGGGTCAACACAAAGTCACACAGGACCTTTTTTCATTGTTTGTTTTTTATTACCCCACCTTTCCCCTTGCGTTGTTTGCCTTGTTGTAAACGAAAGGCTTATTAGGGTCCGCTAAGGCTACGTAGTCAAGAACAGTTCCCATGGTTTTGCTCGTGCTAGCTTGCTCGGTGTGTTCTTTGCAGTGAACGTCAGATCTGCTGAAAAGAGGTCTGACTAAAAACAAGATAAATAGACTGATGACGGAAGTCAGTCCATCTCTTCAAGTGACCTATGCTACGGCGGTAGTAGCAGCAGTGATGAGCAAGCAAGGTAACAGAAGCGTGTGCCACACCTTGTTGACAGGTGTGCGGAGGTGCATTGTAGACGTGAGTCTACAACCAAATTGGATTTGGCTCAAGGAGAAATGAGAAAAGGTGTTCTGTACCCATACAATTTTTGTATTGCTGAGCTGGGCAGGAAACAGAGTGAGATCCAGTGGAGGGGGCGCGCTCTGCAAGGTCAGCATTTTTTGTATATAGATTGCCTATTATACTACGAAGTACGAAACAACAATGAACCTTAGTACCAGTTCGGAAACGTTCCGGAAACGTTCCGGGAACCAAATACCGTTCCATGAGACCGAAAGACCTGGTCCGGAAACGTTCCGGGGACCTTTCTAATCTTATCCTGGACTTTTCCTGAGAACGTTCCTGACAACCGTTCTAGGAAAGTATATCCGATCAAGGTAGGAATGTAGACATGTAGACATAATGTAGACTATGTAGGAAACATTCTACGAACCGTTACGGAATCTACCGCATCCATCAGGATCGTTCTAGATAGGCCCTTCTAGATACCTTTCCCGAAATATGTTCCTCAAGGGAAGTTATTTCCCTTAATAGTTTATTGTACCGCGTTTAGTGTGCCGTGTCACCTACACTGAAACCGGTATTGTTTTGTGCTGCTGAAATCGCTCATGATGTACATATATATATGTGACATTGTATACTGCTGTGTTGTACTTGTGTTCAAGAGAATACCCATAACAACAGCAGCAGTTTTATCAGTTGATGATATTTTTAACATGTAGTTTTTATACGCGAGAAGGGTTCATTCAGCCACCCTCTCGTCGACCGTGAAGCCGGTGTGTTTTTTTCGCACGGCCGTCCGTGTATGTGCAAAGTAATTTAGAGCTGGAAATTCAAAACCCTCCGGAGAGAAAATCGAACCGACAACCTGCCGCTAGGCAGTCGTTCGTGCAGATTGATAACTGCTGGAAGACCAACACTAGGATGAGAGCTGGGACACACAGCACCTACAAACCCCACATGCAGTATATGTAGCGAAACAGCGAAAAACACCCTCCGGAGAGATAGTTGGACCCACAACCTGCCGCTACATTGTAGGCAGTCATGCAGAATTGACCACGGACCACCACTAGGGTAATAAGGTACATATGAAACACAGCAACTAACTCATAAACACATGTAGCATTGTATGATGAATGATGACCAACCCGTGTTCTACTGTACCGAGTAGGGTCAACGAGACAGTGGGGTGGCCACTTGTGTGGCATCTCACTATCATTGTATGTCATGCTGGGGAAGATGCCGGGAAGAATTGGCATCCTCCGTGGTTGGAAGGTACAATCTGCACCTCTCTCTGTGTGTGTCGGAAAAAATTGTCCCGTCAAGTCTTCTGCGTGACTCGAGATCTCACCAGTTCCAATGTTGGCGAACATCCAGCGGGGCGGTCTTCAGGTCTAGAGTCTCACACACCATGACGGTAGGCTGACTGCGCCCACGAACGTCCTCCACGCTCCTCCTTCGGCTCGTAATCCCGCCCCCTGCGCTGGGGCCTTTGACCTTCATTTCGAACAAGAGGTCCTTCTCTAGCTGGTCCTGCGGGGGCATCGGCCTGGTGGTTTCGAGCGGGACCCTCTGAACGACTGTGGCATTGAGGTAGAGAGCGCCCTGGTCATCTTCTACCACCGTCTTGCACAGCACGAACAGGGCAACTGGCACCTTCGCCTCGAGTTGGGACCCACGAAGTGTGGCCCACTTGCTCGCGACAAGCGGAGGTGGTGCTGGCCGCTGCTGCGGTACATTTGCGGGCGGTGCTCGCATGCTGTTGAATGCTTCAATGGTGCAATGCTGTATGCTATGTATGCGTATGCGCCGCATCGAAAACAAGCCGCTTTTTCTAGAAAATGACCCGTTCACCGTTCACCCATTCAGCACAAAACCGAAACCTCAAAACAAGCTCTCCAGCGCAATGCGATGGTCAAACCCCCCTAGTTGTTGTTGTCTTCACATCAAAACCACCAAGTGGAGCATGGTGAGGATTGGATCGGTGTCTGTCACGTTCTTATTTGCTAAATTTATAAACCTTCCGCTGTGGTGACAAAGCAACAAAGGAACTGGCGAAGAAACTGAAGAAACGAAGAACGGCGCCCGTGGGCTGTTGCTTGTGAAACGGCTCTCTTTGTTGTTCATCTCTCACTACTGATTTGGTTGTAACAATGGTGCACCCGACGGAACAACGTGGTTGTATGATACGGATGTCGCTGTTTTGCAGAGTGCTGGAGTGTGCTGGGGCAACCGGTGCTTCCACACCTTATCGCATATTCGACATATGTATAGCCACGACGTGGCTGTACGCTACTCGACAGCATCAGATCAGTCTCGCGTGTAGAATATGCCGTTTTCTCCTCTCCGTTCGTCTAAGCACCCACCACATTCCTTCATTCATTCATTCATTCATTCATTCATCGGCACCCGGCACCGGCACCCGGTGTGCTGTAAGTAATCGAGTACACGCGGCAAGTAGTCATTGCTGCAAGTCTTCGTCTTGTTATATGCCGTTTAGCGATCCCCTCACACACAACAACCATTTATTTACACTCACGCCGGCACCACGGCCGGTATTCCGAGCCACTTCAGAAAATAGTGGACTATGTAAGCTATACGATGACACCGCGCACTTTCAATGCCATTTATCTCTGCACAATCTACTGCTGCTGCTGCTGCTGCTGCTGCTGCTTTGTTTCAGATTTCGCTTTCAACCAACTGCTGTTTTTCTTGTGCCCTGGCGCCATGGCGAGCGCCCCGACAAACTCACATTCGTTCGCCATGGTATGTCACCGCTCGGCTTGGTTGTGAGTTGGAACTGCTGTATCTTACAGTAGTAGTAGCAGTATAATTGCATCTGTTGGCGTTCGGTCCAGGCCCGCCCTTCAGCGCCCCGTCTGACCTTCGTTCGGGAACCACAGTCACTTGAACGTCACACCTTCGCAATCCAACAATCTCAAGTAGCTTCCTCCAACGAAGACACCAACAGCAAGGCCACCAACACGCAACACACGCAAGAGCAAAAACAAGGCGCTCGGCGGGATGGGCAGTCTACATGCATTTTACAAGACACACCATACAAGAACCAACATGTTGACGCGTACAGTGTGCACGCACATAAATTCTGTGTGGCAAAATCGCCCTGGTGGGGTTATTGCACAGGGGACCAGATGTATACGCACACATCCATCCATGCATGTATTTGGTAGCCTGCATGTTTTATCGGGAATAAATCGAAGAAGCGTCGAGAAAGCTGTCGGCTTTCATTTTCATTGCGAAAACGCAACAAAGTCGTCGCTTCCACGGTGGTACCGAAATCTGGGATTTTTTGGAATGATTTCATAGCGTTGCTCCTTCAGTACTTACTTCCTCCGCGAGGAAAAGCAACCATGAAGTAAAAAAAAAACGAAACAGACAGAGACTCAGCTCAGCTCAACCCGTGGAAAAAATCGGTAGTACAACATCACGACGAATTTCACGCTGCCGCACATGTTAAGTTGTGACCAACCTGCTCGTGGTCGACAACATCCATCCGCACAAGATACAAGAGCGCTTCCGACATCCCGGCTGAATTTCTCTCTTCTCGCGTGTGGAATTTCTCTTCTTTTTGTAACAGCTAGTTTTTGCAGCGACAGCCCTCTGCTGAGACCCACGAAATACTCACCAAGCTAAGCATAAACCATGCTTCACCAATTGTTCACACGAAAACACAACAACCACGTGACCCCACGACCCCCGTCCATGCCGGGGAAAACCAACAAGACATCAGTAACGCCTTCCCCCCCCCCCCGATCAAAATTCTTGGACCGGTTTCAACCTTTACCCTCGAACCACACGTACGCACCATAGCACGACGGTAGTTAACACCAAAAATCAAGAAACCAGGCCCCCCCTAACAACTCTCTATCACACGCACGACTCCTTTCCTACGTTGGTTGGTCGTCCAATTCACCAGAGAGATCGACCCCGGTACCATTCGAACAAACAACAGGTTATACCCGACGCTGTCTTTGCCTGCGTATTCAACCGTCGCGCCTCTCCCGTTGTGACTCTTTTTGCTGTTGTTGTGACTCTCTTATTAAATCTAACAGTTTTTTTCAGACCCATGCTCTCTCGCTGACATACGAAAAAAAAAGCCAGCCCACTCCCTCTCAAGACACATAAATACCATACACGTATGTCGTGGGACATCCCGCCAGCGCACATGAGATGAGCGCTTGCGCCGTCTGCAGCGCCTAGGAGCTGTATACAACCATCAACAACACAAAACGAGCTACGTCGGGGGCGGTGTTGGCGACGGGGCAGCCGCCGCCCCCGGGTGGGCGACTGCTGGTGCCGCTGACCCAGGCGCGGTGTCCGCCAAAACAGCAGAGGACGAAGCAGCGACGCCGGTGCCGGCGCAAGGGACAGCTGCCCCCGTAGGCGCAGCTTCAGCCATCACGACGTCGCCATCAACCCTTTTGCCTTCCTCCGCTCCTCCGCCCCTCCCGCTACTACTACCAGCAGCAGCAGCAGCAGCAGCAGTAGCAGCAGCAGCAGCAGCAGTCGTGGGAGCAGACAAAAACACAACACCACCGTCCCCCCCGCCAAAGCCGCCGCCCCCGCCAACGCCGTCACCCACGGCGACGGAGGCGTCCGGAGTAGGTAGCGCTAATGGAGAAGGAGGTGGAGGAGCAGCTGACCTCGAGGGAACCGACGCCCCACCCACCACCGCCGCCGCCGCCGCTGCCGCCCCCCGTGCTGCTCCTGCGCCGTCACCAGGAGAACTCGACGTGACCGCACCAGCACCAGCACCAGCGGCAGCAGGCGGAGGGGGCGACAGCCCCTTTGCAGAGGCGGCCGGCGGCGAACCCGAAGGAGGCGTTTTCGGTTTGCCTCCGCCGCCGGCGCTTGCTGCTCCTTTTCTCGCTCTCCCTCGATGACCCGGGGTGCTGTAACGAGGAGGACGAAAATGGGCGGGCGGACGCGAGAGAAAATGTCAGACAAAAAAACGCGTGGACTCCCCGAACAGCGGAGTTCTGGTTCAGTCAGGCGCGAAAGAGATAAACCAAGGGCCCTTAAAGTTGTCAAAATTGATTCCGTGGGGGCCCACGCAAGGGTGTGCTTCCTTGTCAATGAGAGGTGCACCGAAAAAAAAAAAGAAGGTAGAACACAACAGCCCCGAGTCCCACGCCAGACCGATGCGCGTCTCATCAACGCGAAAAGGCGACAAACACAATGTTTTGTGTTTTCAGCCGCACTTAGACTGACGTATTTGCATTGGTCACCCGGTCAGCGCGGTCGGTGCCAATAAGAAACACACAACACCGTCTGTTCACTGGTCAAACGATTAGCGCGGTCGGTCGATGCCAAGAACAAAAAAAAAAAAGAGAGACACGTACGCACGCACCTGCTCCCGGACTCCGATCCAGAGCGCGCCTTCGTCCTGGCCGCCGCCGCCCGCCTCCCGGCCGCCCCTCTAGAGTTCGCCCCGGCAACCGCGGCCCATCCACCGCCACCGCCGCTACCGCTACCGCTGCCGCCACCGCTGCTGCCGCCATGCGATGACGACCTCGGGGTAGACCTACCCCCCGCAAAGGAGGATGTGCGTTTCTTGGTGTGCGGTCGGGGGCTCGCTAGCTCACGGGCTCGTCTCGCTGCCTCAATCTTGGCCTTCATTCGCGCAAGGTGCTCCTGCTCGGGAGGGGAAGAGCGGGGGGGGTTCGGCAAGGCTGAAGAGAGGCGGGATTCGTCAAGATGGAAGGGAGACGGGTGTAGACGGGCAGGCTGTTCCAAAGAAACAGGCGGTTCGAAAACGAACAAGCTGATCCGAAAACGATAAAGTTGTTTGAAAATAAACAAGCTGTTCCAAAAACGAACAAGCTGTTCGAAAACGAACAAGCTGATCGAAAACGAACAAGCTTTTCGAAAACGAAAACAAGCGCACGAAGAACATGACACAAAAAAACATGTGGTACGCTCTTATCTCCTTCCATGTACCCATGTGTCGGGCCCAGGGTTGTGACGCAATGGTAGCACGTTACGAAAGCCTTTGTGCGTATCAAGGTGCCGCACCCGACTTGGGAGCGACAAGAGACACGACAAACAACACGATCGTCGAAGGTGTGTACGGCGGTTAAAGCCCAGCCGACGACACATCCTGTTCGAACGACGAAATCGTGCGTGCACCAAGTGTTCGGCAGATAAATCCAAGAAACTTCCAGACCAAAACCGAGGAAACACAGGCATGAACGGGGACACGAGGGGGGTGGGTGATACGATGGCATCCCTATGAATACAAGTATCTTCCGAAAATTTGTACGTGAAAACCAGGTACCACATTGGTAAAACGGCATGGAAATCCAACAAGTGGGGCGGCTGCCTTCGAAATCTTCTACTTCGATCGATGCAGCAAGCCGGCCACCCCGGTGGTCCAGATGGCCATGTACATCCAAAAAGCTCAAGTAGGTCGAGAGCTTCAATCTCTAGTCCGCATTCGGCACCTACAGTAGTATATCTTTGAAGACTAGGGAAGAGGTTTTGGATGGAAAAGAGGCAGTAAAAGTTCGAAGCCAATAGCAGCTTGATGTGTGGCGGTCTGAAAAAAGAATGAATTTGAAGGCAGCAGAAGCAGCAGAAGCAGCAGAAGCAGCAGCAGCAGCAGCAGCGCCACAACAGCAGCTGTTGCAGAGGTACTTCTCGTGAGAACACTTTAACTTAACAGAGGGAGGGGGGGCTGTAATCTTCAAGCGTCGAAGGCATGCATCACAGAGGATGATCTCTTGTATTTCACTTGACCCCGGTCCGGTTTAGAGACCCTACCCATAGAAACACCGCACGTGGGGTGATGCTGAGTACAGACTGCGGGTGACAGGTGAGGGTCACTATCTGCGCTGACGGAACAAAACAATGAACACACACGACCGGCACGGCCCTGAATTTCGACCTCGACGACAGGAGGAGTACGCGGGTTGCCCTTCCTTGCCTCTATAGCCTTCGCACCCCCAAAATACACCGCGGCAGATACACTAACGGCGGCGCCACTGGAGCAGCAGCGGCATGAGCAAAAGCACCACCACAACCGTCAAAACCAACAACCCAAATGACGAAGACTCACCGTGTGTCGGTGTGCGAAAGCTTCGTCGTCCGTGTCCTCGTCGCTGCTATCCCCGCTCTCGCCCCGCCTCCCCTCCCCGCCCCCGCCGGCACCGGCCGTCTTCGCCGCGACAGGACCCGCTGCTGCCGCCGCTCCCTCACCTCCGCGGGCCGCCGCCGCATCGACCACGATGCGGAACGTTGGCGCGATGATCTCGGACGGCATGATCCCCGAAGCGGAACTCGACGCCCTCTCGAGCCTAGACCCGTCCGCGCTCCCCGCGGCGTCACCGGTCCCGTGATCGCTGCTGCTGTTGCCCCCCGCTACAGCAGCAGCCCCGGCGCCCCGCGCGGGCGTGACGGTCCCGCTGGCGGCAGCGGCGGCAGGCGGAGCCACGGCGTCCTGGGAAGAAGAGACAGTAATCCGCAGGTTTTGCGGAGAAGACGCGTCGCCACCGCCGCCGCCGCCGCATCGTGCCGCCTCCGTGCCCGCTGCCGATCCCGCAGCGGCGGCGGCCGCGGACGGGGGCACCGCCGTCGCCGTGATCGGCACCCCGGGGAGGAGTGATGCCGAGGACATGACGCCCTGCCCGAAAGAGGAGGAGAGCGCCATCGCCGGCGCCGCCGCCACCACAGCCTCAGCCGCCGCCGCCGCGGCGACGGTGGCGACGGCGGCGGCCGGCACCACC